ATATGTATTTTATGGAGATACAAATATTAATCTTTCATAAAATATAACTGGAAATGTCATTCTGTGCTCAAACAAAATTAATGTACTTTTTTGAACATTTACTTATCTAATTATTTGTTGTGATTTTTAAGTTGCCGGGTCGAGGACTTGAACCACAGTCGGCTATGTGGAAATCCAACACCTTAACCACCATGCCGCCTGCTGACCCATAATGGTTTTTTTAAAAAAGTATTATATATGATTCTTAGTTTATTATTCTCACCCAAGAGCAATGTTCTAAAAGCACATGCATACATATTTACTTAAACCATGCCTGCCTAGATTTCCTATTTCATATGACATAATGTTAGCTACATATTACACTTTTTACATTTAAAATTGCATCAAAAAAAAACCAACCAATCATTAATTTATTTTTTTTAATAGCAAGAGAGTGAATGTACGTGTACTCACTCAAGAGAGATGGGGGAAAAAAAAAAAACACCCCCTGATGGAGTATGGTGACACTACAATCCCTTTTCCTTCACTTTCCCCTTCCCATCAGGACTTTGGGTGTTCACACACACACACACACACACACACACACACACACACACACGGCTTGTTTTGCAGGGTGCCAGGGCTAGGATTCAAACCTCAGTTGGCTATGTGAGATCTGACTCCTGATAACACTGACCTTTATTTAATTTCTCTGTCTCTCTTTTTTTAAGGTTTTGACCGTAAGGCATATGCACTCACCAAAGAGAGATGATGAGACCAAAAGCGAGAAATCACCCCCAGGGGGATGGTCATGCTGCAGTCCCTTCTCCTCCATTCCCCTCTCAGGATCTGAGGCATAAATGCACACTCACCCGATGTGATTTTCAAGCTATCAGGTCCAAGACTCAAACTGTGGTCAATCATTTGGGAGTCCAGCACCTTAACCAACACACCACCTACTGGCCCTCTTTATTTAATTTAATTCATTTTGAAATGGATAAAGATTTTGTTATTATTTTAATCTTATATTTACATTGTCTATTTATTTTCTTTGTCTATTTAACAAGAGTTATTCCATAGTTGGTTTCTCACTAGTTTTAATAATGTACCTTAAAATACATATTAATACTTTTTTCATTAAAAAATTAAGTCAGACATTTTTCTGAAAGTAAATCTGATTTGGCTGATTATTTTAATATGAACACTGTCTTTAACAATTTTATGTATTTTCTATCAAGTTGTTCACATCCCCCCGCCCCGTTTTTTTGTGTTTTTTTTTTTTTTTTTTTTTTTTAGAGATTTTTGCTAAAGGGCTCATGTGCTCGCCAGAGAGACAGACAGAAAGCAAAAAATCACTCCTCAGGGGCCTGGTCTTGATGCAATCCCTTCTCCTACATTCTTCTCTCCAGATTTTGGGTATGCACACACATATACCCGGCATGAGTTTTAAGCTGCCAGGTTCAGGACTCGAACTGTGGTTGACTATGTGGGAGTCCAGTAACATAACCATTACTCCTCCATCTGCCGGTCCCCCCCCATCAGTGTTTATATGTGAAGGCATTTTATCAAATTATGGTATTGGCAAAGACATAATGATCTAAAACTTTTGATAGTCCCAATTTTTTTCTAAGTAAAGTAGATTAATGGCTCAAAATGAAAGAATAACAGTTATCATAGTCATTTGATAAGTCTTAGTAAAGCCACGTTAGTGTACTTCTCAGAAACTGAAAAGACTCAATAACAAATCCTTTAGCAAATCAGAGGGTTTCTTTGCTTTCACATAATTAAAGATAGGCCTCATAAAGTTGCCTACTAAAAAATAAAAGTTAGAAGCAGACCAGTGGCCTAATGGGTAAATGAGTCAGATCCCACATAGCCAAATGCATCAAATCCTGGCCCCGCACCTTGAAAAACCCACCAGGCACATGTGCATGTGTGCCTCAAATCCTGACAGAGTAGAGAAATGGAGCAGAAAAGAGTGCAACGTGACCACCTTCCACTGGGGAGTGATTTCCCCCTCTCCCTGTCTCTGTTTCTCTCTAGCATGTGCATATCCCTTCTGGCCAATTAAAATATCTAATAAATACATAAGTAAAAATTTTACGTAAAATGTTTTAAAAATATTAAACAATGTGTTTTTGGCCCAACTGCAGTGGTGCAGGTGGTAGGGTGCCACTCTGAAGCGCCAGAACCACGTGGAAGACTGTGGTTCACATCCCAGGTTGACCTGATAGGTGTGTGCCCTTGCCCACACCCATGATTTTGGCTGGCTGAAATGCTGCAGTGGGAGATTGCAGCAGGGTGGGATTGCAGCAGGGTAAGACCCTGTCAAGGGTGGCTCTCTCTCTGTCTCTTTCTCTCTCATTTCCTTCCTTCTTCCTCCCTGTCTCTTCCTCTCTCTGCCGCCCTCCTTTCAGAGGAAATGAAGTGGATGGACTTTGAACATATCTATGTGTGTGTACATTTTTTAAAAAATAGTAGTTCACTCTGCTTTTGATCCATGACTTGGATAGCCATTCTATTTTATTTTACTTATATACAAGAGCAAAATGTTCCAAGTTCTTATATCTATACAAATGAAAACCCAGCCCAGCTGGTAGCATGGTGGTTGAGGCAGCTAGATCCCATCTGGCCAAATTTGCAGTTTGAGTCTGAAACTCAAGTGGCTTGGAACACACACCAGGGGCATGTGTGTGTCTGCCCAAAATCCCACAAGGAGAATGGAGAAGGGCTCATGTCACAGCCATCCCCTCTGGGGGTGATTTTTCACTTTCTCACTCTCTGGTAAGCTCCATGCCCTGAAGTGAAATTTTAAAAATAAATAAATGAAAGAAAGTAGTCTTGTTATTTGAGGCAGCATTTGAGTCTGGAGGACATTATGTTAAATAAAATAACCCAAAGAAGAAAAAAATCACACATTCTCACCCATATGTGGAAGTAAAAAGGAGAAGAAGAAAGAAGGAAGAAGAAGAAGAAGAACAAGAAGAAGAAGAAGAAGAAGAAGAAGAAGAAGAAGAAGAACAAGAAGAAGAAGAAGAAGAACAAGAAGAAGAAGAAGAGCCATGCAGTGGCACAGCAGTAGCACACCTGGATACATATGAGGAAGTATCACGATCATGACCAAGGGCCGCACACTGCATGCCAGGTATGCACACGTCCTGAGATCACAGCTGGCTGATTCTGGGGCTAGACTGCAGCCTAAGGACCCTGGTGTGGGTGCCTCTCTCTCTCTCTCTCTCTCTCTCTCTCTCTCTCTCTCTCTCTCTCAATAAATAAACTTTAAAAGTGAGAAAAGGGGGATGGGGCCAGCAGGTGGCATGGTGGTTAAGGCACTGGACTCCCACATGGCCAACCACAGTTCAAGTCTCAGATCTGTTGGCTTGAAAATCACACTGGGCACGTGCCCAAAATTCCAAGAGGAGGATGGAGGAGAAGGGGTTGTGGTATGGCCATATCCTCTGGGGAGTGATTTCTCACTTTCCTTTTTACTGCCTATCTTGGCCGAACACATATGCTCTACAGCAAAAAAAAACTTAAAAAAGAAGTGAGAAACAGGAGCAAAATTTATACTGCATCCTGTCTCATAATAATAAGAACTAGTCAAGCCAAGCAGCTTGTGTGGTGGTTGCGGCCCCACATGGCTTAACCAATATGATTAAGGCTTTCCATACGGCTGACTGCAGTTTGAGTCCCAGGCCTGGTGGCTTGCTTTTCTCACTTTTCCTCTCTCTCTCTCTCTGTCTGTCTCCCTCTGGTGAATGCATGTGCCCTGTAGCAAATTAAATAATAATAATAAACTTAAATAAATAATTCTTTTTAAAAAGACATATGAACTAGTCATTCTCAGAGTAGTGAACTAATTTGGGAACAAATATTCGTATTTACCTGAGAGTCCAGAAACATAGCCATTACGCCAACTGCTGGTCTCATAATGATAAAAATTTTAATACTTAGAGACACAGAAAAATTTATGTGAATTCCTATATACCTTTTCTGTATTGGAAGATGACCAATAAAAGCTCACTAAACGTAAAATATATTACATTGGGATAAGTTATGTGAGGGAAGTTGAATGGAATGGTGATTTCAAGGAGACAGAAAATCATGCAAAATTTCTGACTGTGCAAGAAGACAGAGTTCACTGTTTTTTCTTTGAAGTCAACAATGGTAAGTATCAAATTAGTGTGGTATCCTTATTTCATTGAAAGCATGAAAAGGGATCAGCAGATGGCATATTTACGTCACTGGGCTGCCACATAGTCAACTACAGTTCAAGTCCTGAACCTGGTGACTTAAAACTCAGGTTGGGTGCGTGTGCTTGCGTGCCCAAGTTCCCGAGAGGAGAATGGAGGAGAAGGGATTGCAGCATGGCTATCCTCCCTGGGAGGTGATTTCTCACTTTCTGTCTGTTTCCTCTGTCTCTCTGGTGAGCATATGCACCCTATAGCAAAAACCTCCCTAAAAAAAAGAGAGAGAGAGAAAAGAAAAGAAAGAAAAGAAAAGAGAGAAAGCATGCAGAAATGTGATGAAATAACTTACTTACAAGTTTAGAAGCATAAGTATTTACAATATGCTAGAAACAATAACTTGGCAAATATTTAAACTTATGATAAGAAATTTCAAATTTTAACTTCGAGATGTGTGATGGGGCAGAACATTTTTCAAAGTTGTTTTAGGTAGCAAATATTGGGCTGTCGAAAAAGTCATGACATATTTTTTCTATGTTTCTCTATGCAAAAATGCGTCATGACTTTTCTGACAACCAAATAATTAGAAGGTGTGAAGACAACTCTATAGAACGCAGCCTCAGCGAAGCCCAGAGGGAAATTTGGGATAGAGTGAGGAAAACTTAGAAAGAAAATTTTCTTTTTATTTTATTACTATTTTTAAATTTCTTTATATAGCAGAAACCGCTATAACTTGATGCATATTAACTTATCTACCAGATAGATGGCTTAAACAACTTTGCAGCAGGTGAAGTTTTAGGAATGTTCTGAGCTATCCAAAAATACTGTACTTACTCAACACGGTCACTAGGTGGCAATTGTGCACTGGGCCTGAAGCCCCCTTCCTCTTCCACTCTAGGCTTTCTCAATCTTCCAACTCCTCCTGCAGAAAGGAAACGAATACTAAGGACAGTAATAACAACAAACAATAGCAAGGACTATTTGTTTCAGATCTTTCTATTCACCAGAGACAGCAATAAGCTCTTATCATCTCTGAAAAATTCAGATATGACCTTGTCTGTGGTCACAATCTAGTTTTCATTAGCATATTCACACATTTTATTAATATATTTATAGATACCATAAATTAACAGATCTCTGTAATGTAACCATGCAGTTCGAATATAAAAACCAAACCCCATCTAGCTAAGTAGTTTGGCTCCAGCAAAACCAAAAAACAACAGTAGCAGCAGCATCTATGACATTGCAAGCACTAAACCAAGCCCTTCACTTCACTGACTCTTGCAAGAGCTCTGAAAAATAGGTGCTTATATTACCCCCGTGTTACAGGAGAAAAAGCAGGTGGAATGTATTATCTGGTGTGTATGTGTCTTACCTTTATATGCTTGGGATGTAGTCTGTGTTGGTGACTATCGATGTAGGTGAGTGTGCATGTGCACGTGCATTGGTGTGTGTCTGTATATGCAAGTGCATCTATATAGTTCTGTGTGCATGTGCCCAGGAGGTGGGTTTTGAGTGTGTCACCACCATCTAAGTGGATAAGATCTTGCCTTCTTTGGGGGCAGTAGCCACATCTATGTGTACATAACATATGAAAGTCTGTGGGACTATACTTGTATTCCCTGTGTGTATCTCTGCATGATTCCATGCATACAAGACAGCATCCATGTCTGCCTGGACACTTTTAATCCTCATGTTTAGTGCTTGCTCATACTCATCTGTGTGGGCCTCTGCCTGTTTCTGTTTTGGTGTATACATATATATGTGCATCTGGGTATGAGCCTATGTGCTTGTGCCTGTGCAGTCTAGCCTGTAAGTCCTTTTATGTGTGTCTGGGAGCTTCTCCATTTACATTTGCATGTCTCGGTATTTACCTGTGTCCACCCACCTCTGTATGCATGCGTATGTCTGTGTGACCTTCTGCATGTCCATGGGAGCACACGTGTGTGTGCCTAAACAAATCTGTCTGCATGCAAATGAATGTCTTTAGATAAGACCCTAGGTGAGTGCACTTGTGTGTCTGGGTAGAGATGTTTATGTGGCTTATGCATAGGAGGAATCCCTGCATGTGGGAATTGTACATGTCTGTGGCACATGTATGTCTTCACCCTGGGTTGGTTTGTGCATGCCTCTGTGATATGTGTACCCGTATATGTGTGCATGTATACATGTGACCATACATATGAGTATCTGCATGCGTGTGTGTCTGTGAAGGTATGCCGGACTCTTCCATTATGGGTCTACACATGTCTATGTCTGAGGTGGAGGTCAATAGAAACACATACATCTATGTTTCCACATGTAGATGCTTGTGGTCTCCATGTTTATCATTACATCTATGTGGTCACACCTGCATGCTTATAAATCTGTATACAAGCTTCTGTGGCCATCTCTGAGTCTTTATGGGTGTGGATGCATGTATATCTCTGTCCCACATGAGTATAACTTGGCATGTTCCTCTTGTGTATCAGAGTGAGTCGGTATGAGAGTATAGATGTGTTTGCCTAGGTGTATCTTTGTATGGGTCTTTGGGACTGTTTATGTCTACATGTGTAAGCATATGTTTCTGTGAATATATATCTGCATACATATGTGTCTGTTAAATGCATTTCTCTTTCTCCTCTTTATCAACGTATATACACACAAATACACATGCATGCATCTATATATAACACATATCTTATCCCTCAACATATAAATATGTCTCTCTGTAAATATATATACCACCATGTCTGTGTGTATGCATATCAAGATCTCTTCATGGATCTATCTCTGTTTTGTATGTGTACACATGCATACACATTTGTGTGCACACCTGCATGCTTGTGATTCTCCCAAAGTACACACATGCATGTGCACTACTGTGTACATGTTCATACCTGTGCATGCAAGTGTGTTTACATATCTTCTTGGTGAACATGAATGTTTATGTTGCATATTGGGTGTGATCAGGTTTATGCATGTGTTTCAGTAACAGTGAGACCTCTGTGTCTCACTCCAAGAGCATATGAAGGCTAGTATGTAAATGTTGAAAACTATATTAGCCTTGGGAAGAGCAAATGGTATAATGGTTACATCACTGGACTCCCACATAGTTGACCATAGTTTAAGTCCCAGACCTGGCGACTTATAACTCATTCTGGGCACGTATGCAGGAGTGCTCAAAATCCTGAGAGGAGAATGGAGAAGGGATTGCAGCAAGGCCATTTCCGCAGGGAGGTGATTTCTCACTTTCTGTCTCTCTGTCTCTCTCTGTCTCTCTGCCAAGTGCATGCACCCTATAGCAAAAAATTCTAAAAAAACTATATTAATCTTTACCTACAAATGACTCTATGTCTCGGTGTTTGTGTAAATATCTCTGTATCATTGTTCATCAGTAAAAATATATACACCTGTGTTGCACAGGGATGCCTCAAGCATCTGTCTACAGGCATGTGTGCACACATGTGAATATGTGTGTGCCTATATGAGTTTTTGAGTGCTTCTCTACATCTCTGAACAAATCTCTGGGAATGTCTAAGAATGTGTTTTTGCCTCATGAACACCTAGGAGAATCTACATGTTTTTGTATGTGTTTCTGTGTTTTTGCATTTGTGAGACTATGAATCAGTAACCACACCCTCTGACTGACCAGGTCTGCATATAGCATGGTTCTATTTGTCTATGCATGGTGTGTACAGGAGGGGTCTTCAAAAAATGCCTGGAAAATGTATATTATGAAAAAATGTGCAAGGATTTCAAGTTTTTGCACCAAAATAAACTTGTACTTTAAATTCCATTTTTCCATGACTTTTTTGAAGTCCTCTCATATTTATGACTATGTGTTGCTCAGTGCCTACATAAGGATCTGTGGGCATTCACATGTATCTGTGTCTGTGTGTCCATATGTGTACCTAAGTGTACATGACATGCCTTCTGTTAGTACACTGGACTTTATATTTATATTATGTCACCATGTCTTTTCTTGAGGCTGTGTGAGCATACAGTCTGTGGGGCTCTAACTGTTTACACATGTACATCTCTGTGTACATGTGCTGATGTGAACATCTGTGGTAATTCATGACTGTGGAAGTAGATGGGTGGGTGTGTTAGTTCTGGTATGTATGCACTTATCTGTGATGAATGTGTGGATGTGAATGTGAGTAATTTCTTCCAAAAAGATTTTTCTATTCATTTCCATACCTGTTTTTCTAGGGTACAGCCACAAGGGGCTCCAGATTTCCTTCCTTCTCTTGAAGTAGCCAATAAGATAAAGATTAAAAGGCAGCATCCCCTGAAGAATGTTGATTATTAAAGATGGCAAGGAAGAACCTAATGACACAGACCTTTTATAATCTGAGGATGAAAAGTAAGTGGCTGCTCAGATCTTCAGATCCCTCTGCCATCAAAACCATTTCTGTCAGAGACTCTGGAATGGACCTCACTTCCTTCTCATCTCTGACAATAGGTAGGGCCTACTCACTGCCTCCTGACCATCCAAAACCCACTCCACAGCCCCATCCCACCTTCTGCTTCCCCAGGCTTGCGATCACAAAGGGCTCCAAAGTTACTCCTCCAAAGTCACTCTACTTGTTTCCTTTGGCTGGAAGTTCAGATTAAGATGCCAGGTATTATTTAATCTTTATAACAACCAAGGAGTCAGGAAACCAGGATTATCTTCCATTTACAAATGAGGAACTAAGAATTAGAGAATTAGAGTGCCTTAACTAAGGTCATATTGCCGATAAGTAGCAGAAACAAAATCCAAAACTAAGTCAGATGGACACCAAAACTATGCTCCTTGTATTCAAATATAGAGCATTTCAACTATTTAACATTCCCAGGTCCCAGCACCAGTAAGTGATTGAGCCAGAAGTGGAAGCAGGCATATTTGGTTCCAAACACCCTGTTCTGAACCCTGTTTCTTTCTTGAAATGATCTCATTTGAGGGGCCAGCAGGAGGCGAGGCAGTTAAGGGTGCTGGACTACTACCTGGCTGACCACCGTTTGAGTCCCAGAGCTGGCAGCTTGTTTTCTCGCTTCCCCTCTCTCATTTTGTCCCTCTCTGGTCAAAATTTAAGTAATTAATAAATAAGTAAAGTTAAATAAAATAATTCTTAAAAAATAATAAATTATTTCATTTGATTCTTGGAGTAGCCTACTAGCAAAGTATTTCATCCATGTTTACAAATGGACCAAACAGACTCACTTGCCAAAGCTTGGTGTGAACATGTAGGCTGTCTCTCTACAGTCTATGAGGCAAAGCCAGATGATGCTGTGGATTTAGTATAATAGACTGAATTTTCCCCTTATGAATGAATCTGAATGTTCTAGAGGAAACATACCTTTCATACTGCTTTTCCAGGTGTTGAGAGACCTTTTGATTGTTCTATAGCAAACCTGTGTACTATGAGAGGTAGTTGCAAAATTTAGGGCAAGTCTGTATGCTATGGGGTAGGTGCATTGTGGATTACATGTCCGTGTGTAGCTATTGTCCACATCATGAAATCAGTCCAGGGTACGAATCTATGAGGACCCTGGTACAAGTCCAAGTGTTCTGGGGAAGAGTTTCTGAGTTAAGTGACCTGTTTCTGTGTAGTGCTACAAGGCTAGATGCTATAGGGCAAGTCTGGTGAGGTGAGGGAAGTCTGAGTGTGGTGAAGAAAGTCTTTTCATTCTAAGACAAGTGTCTTTGTATTGGGGTTTGATTCTTTGTGTTTTGGAGAACTGAGTATGTATGCAGCGAGTCTTTCTAATAGGAACGTGGGTTTAGGTTTTATGAGCAAGGATGTGAGTTGTTTTAATGTTAGTAAGTTTTAGGTCCTGTGAGAGTTTCTTGGCATGCAAGCCTGTGCCTAGTGGGATATGTGTGTGCATTGTGAGCTTGCTTTCTACATAAAAGGAGGCACATGCAAATGGTGCAAGGTAAAGCTGTGGTATGCA